GGAAACTATAAAGAAAAAGCCCAACAAAACACCAGAACCCATGAAACCTCAACCCTAAAGGCCCACCACAGCCCAAACGGAGCAAGTCTCAGCCCGAGCTGACTCTAACCGCGGGGCGAGAGGTGTCGATGTGAATCTTTGCCTGGCCCCACAAAGAAGGGCATTTTGGGCTGGAGCTCGACCCATGGGGCCCATAGTAGTTCCTTTTGTCGGACTACTCTATAGACTTCTATATATGAACCACAAAAAAGGAACTACTTTTGGGCCTTGTGGTAAGGGCTTCGGATTCAGGTCTTTGGCATGGCTTTATGACTGGATGGGCCTTTGAGATTCTTGGGGTAGGGATTCCTTAATATGAACCGAATTATGGGAACCCTAATCCCTACTAAACCCCCATGGCGACAACCCCTTTTGGCCTCCTAGGAAGGTGTGTCTCGCGGACGGATCCGCGGCGGGTGCGGGGTGAAAATACGAGATGTAAGGCTTGATGGGGTCGGGCTCGGCTTGTGTCTTTGAGAGGAGGGAGGGAAAGACAGAAACGGACAGGAGATCCGTCACTCAGTCACATGCACACACACACACACACACACGCACACACACACACATATATATGTATGCATGCATGTATGTATGTATGTATGTATGTATGTATGTATATATATGTACATATATGAACATATATATATATATATATACACACACGTGCATACATACATATATAGTGTTAAATAATATATATATATATATATATATATATATATACACGCTGGGTCCATGTGTATAAGCATGGAAACACACGTACATGTCTAAATCAGAATGAGGCACATCCAGGAGTGCACAGCTTACATGGCATCGTAAAGCCTCGGCCGAAAACCCAAAGCCCTGAACAGTCAAAATCAAACCCAACATCCTACATCCCACACCGGAACCTCCCTGGGGCTTCAAGTTGGACACTCCAGTGTTAGGTGCAACCTTCAGGGCTACGGTACGAAACGCGGTGTATACTAAGCTTCAAGAGTAGAGTAGAAGGTGATTTCGGAAATGCTGGTACGCTTCATGCTTCTATGCAATTGTCCGCGTGGCAAGAGTGACAATATGAAGGATAACAAATATCCTACAAATGCCAAACCCGTAAACCCCTGAAGTTCCCTGAACCCTTAAATCCTACACCCTACAACCCTGAACCCTTAAACCATTCCGGCTAATGGGCCCCGCCTGCTCAGCTTCTGCGAGCTTGGCACGAAGCATCTCAACCTGAAGGCTCGGCTTTTCGGTTTACCTTAACCCTGCATAACCTACCTTTTTCGGGTTCCGTATTATGATTTCCTCATATAATTCCTCAAAAAGGTAGGTTCGTCAGTGTTATAAGGTAGGGTTTAGGGGTACAGTCGAGGTAATTTCAAGGGCTTGAGGTTTGGGGGTTCTGGCTGTTTAGGGTTTAGTTTAGGGCTTATGGTTTAGGGTCTGCTTCACGCAACTCGGGTCGACGGCGCAGGCCAGTGGCAATACTGCTGCTTTATCCCGGGTACAAATGTAGTATACCAGGAGTCCCAAACACGAAAACAATGAATATCCACCGCCTTGCGCTTGGGTTAGGGCTCAGTAGGGTTCTGTCATCACGGAACGCCTGCATTCTTTCATTGAGCCTGGCTCGGACATGCTGCATGCAAACCTGCCGCTGACCTGCCTCCTCTTCAAGCTTGGACAGATGCTCTGCTTCCTCGTTCTTCGACCTGTCGCACATCGTTTGGGAGATCGGCAACGTGAGTTTGCTGTACTGGGACCTCAAAGATTAGAAGAGGGATCGCAAGGTCACTATACTACATGACTATGTTGAGGAACCTCAGAGTTCCTAATACTGTGGTCTGCTGTATTGGGGGCCGAAATGGTATGCAAGATGCCGCAATCAGGGCCGGGCGTTTGCTTTCAGATTGGTATGCTAGGTGCCAACTTATGAAGATCAGCGGTTAGCGGCATCGAAAGCCCTCTGAAGGCTGTACGGACCAAGTGGCGCATTAAGCTTGATGAACTTTGCGCGGGCGGCATAATTCAGCGTTGAATATGTCTCTTCACCTGAAGGCTAGGCGAAGGCGCCCACAACCACAGCATGATGAGGGTATGTTGGGTCATTTCCGGGGCATGAAAGATGTAATTCGTGATAATTAGTGATTGGAGGTGAGACGTGCCAGAGACTTCTGACTGTGACTAGAACAGACATGGGCAACTTCAGATCGAATTAGCCGTCAACAACAGTCATCACGTGCTGAACCCATAGGTACGCCGGGCAACTGTTCGTCTTTGAGGGCGAAATGGCGGCCATCATGGTGGTCAGCGCATTCCCTCCCAAGGACTCCTGCACCGACCAGCTTCTACGTACCTGTGCAGCCTGGTATAGTATCCTGAAACTAAAGCGACGCATCTACCATTGCAACAGCATCCATGTTGCTGGTGTTATTGGTGCTATCAATTTTCAGTTCAGACTCACCCCAGCATTACTACAGCACGGAAGGACGACTGCCAAAATTACCATTGCAATGAACCTGAATCATGGGTTTGTGATGGATCTCTCGCCGTTCGAACTCCGATACTAATGACATGATGGCTATCGGCGTTGCCGTGGCTACAAATGTATGCAACACGGGGAGAGTCAGAAACCAGGGAACCAAACAACACAACTAGAAATTGAATTGCAAGATCCTTACAACAACACAACGGCAACTTTGCGTGCTTTCACTCGCACTCTCGCACCTTGACGTAGGTTTGTGCACCTACAGAGACTGACGAACTACAATGTATTGCACATAGACTCAGGCTGCGGGGGGTTATAAGTACGTTTGTATACCAGCTAGGGAGGAGGATGCTCAGTCCTAAAACCTGTAGCACCCCTATGTAAAGTAACAGTTCTAGCAGGCTTGCAGCACTCTAAACCCTACACTTGCTACTTATCAAAAGCCCTATATCCGGGTCGACCTACGGTTATGGTTATCAATGTTATGATTCGTTATTCTGCTTGCTACCATTGCTATCACTATTACGGCGAGGACTGCTGCAATTAACAACTTGCTATTGATATTCATATTGCTATGAACCTACATTAAAACATCTATTACTACCATGATGATGACTACTCCCACAGTTAGTTGCCGTTGCTATTCATATTCATGTTACCCACAGGCCCCATAGTAGTTCCTTTTTGGGATTACCTTATAGAACTCTATATATGAACCACAAAAGGAACTACATTGGGGCCTATGGGTAATATGGACCTACATTAATAAATCTGTCTCCCAGCCGATCCTGTAGGACCCGGGTCAACTTGGAGTTACCTTGCAGTGGGCAAAAGGATAAGGCCTGGGCTTTCGGGTTTAGGGTTGGGGGTCTTCGGGTTTAGGGCATTTAGGGTTTAGGGTTTATGGTCTTAGGCGGTTTAGGGTTTAGGGTTGAGGGTCTTAGGGCATTTAGGGTTTAGGGTCTATGGTTTTCGGGACTATAGACGTTGAGGCTTAGCAAGGAGAGACGTCACTGGTTTTAGGGCTGAGATAAGGGTTTGTAGCATGCAGAGCTCAGGGTGGATGTTTTGGCCGGGCTTTGCACAAGGCAGGACCAAGATCTCTGCAGACAACTTGATGCAGCATGACCACGGTAGGGAATGAACACCTTCTTGCCGCCGGCCGCCATCGAACTGAGTGTGTTGATGACCTTGGATGACAGGGTTTGGGAGAGCTTATGGTTGCTAATTGCTGAAAAGGAACTGTCCGGAATGGTATTGTCGATTTTCAAGCTTCTACAGCACGAGAATGCCGATGCCTGTTCCGTCACATGCAACCGGATACCCTTAGACCAAACTCCTAGCCGCTAGCAAGTCTGGTCGTCCAGGCACGAGAGGATTCCGGGTTTGTTGGCTTTGGGCTTAGGGGACCCCAGCAATTCTTCTGAAGTTTCAACATTTCTTGGTCGCTGAGTAGGTAACCTTTATTTTACCTTTTGGGGCTTATAAAATCCTACCATAGTTGAAAAGGTTAGGCTTTTTTGGGCCAGGGTAGTCAGCCCCTAAGATATAGTAAGTCCTTGAACCCTTTCCCTGTCCAGCTTGGAGCAAGCAGCCGAGGCTTCCAAAGCTAAGAGCTTAATATAGGGGCCTTAATAGCTAGAAAAGGGTTTTCGTGCCCATTATACTATAGTTAAAATAAGGAACCCCCACAATGGTATGGGTAGTTATTGTGGCCCCTATATTATGAGTCACGTCCACGAGACAAGAGTTTGCTGTTCCAGGCACCTGGTTGAGATGCTGACCGTTTCACTTCGCGTCTCCGGCTGCTTAGAGGATCCTATGTGTAGCAAAATATGGGAGCGTTAATAAATTCACCCCTGCCCGGCATGGAGCATAATAATTAATGTGTTTAGCGGAATAAATTGTACCAGAATTAAACAGGAGCGGGGCTGCAACGGGATAACATTACATTACCAATTCTTCCTACGCCTATCTTACTCCATCCGTAAGTGGGAACTCTGGAAACCCCAAGCGAGTGTCTCTTTTACAGGGCCTGGCTTGCATGATCCTCTGTACAGCTTGGATTTGGGATCAAGCCGGTGGTCTTTCCCCTGTACAAGTGCCACTGGCTCAGGCAGATCTTCGAATGAGCATGCACACTTTACAGTTTACGAACATCTCCCAGGGGGAGGAGTGACTACTGTAGAAATTGAGTCGATCGTCATCCTAACGCAGTGTCACATAGCATTCTGCGGGTGGAAAGGACGTCAGACTCTGGCACCTCCAACATTGGGTCCTGAATGGGATTTCCCCGTCTGTGGGGTGCTGTGTGTCGCCTCGGCTAGCATATGGCAGGAATGTACTGGTCCATCACCTTGGCTGCAACAACATCACCAACCCATTCTGCCGTACAGCTACTGCTCCTGAAACTGCAAACAATTCTGTAGTAGGGACCTTATAATAATAGTAATAATCATCAGAATACGGTTGCCGGGGCTCCTTATTATAATTATGGTGTACTATACCCACTATACCCGAAAACCCCAGTCAAATTATTGCGGCCCCTACAGTAGCAGAATTGCCAAGACACCAGCCCATGTCTTTCCATGGACCTGGAATATGCAGCCGACCTATCCGGTGTGCCCCGCAAGTACCAAGCAACCTCCTTCTCCTCTTGCAGGCGACCCTGCAGGGACAAAGCTACTTAAATTTCGACAGCGCGACTTGCCTTCCGCCTCTCCACCCTAACACCCTCGTCCACGTTTTCAGATCGCGAAACTCTAGACCCGAAAGCTCAGTCGGCAACATCCCTTAGCTTCGCCCGGGTCCTTCAGTGCATCCTGCGAACAGCTCTCTCCCTCCATCAGCTGCACAGGCGAGGCGCGCAAAGCGGTGCAACCCATGGCTTCCAAGGCAACGCTCTGATCTGATCACTGAAACGCTGAGAGCAGGAAGGGATGGTGGATGGCATTTCGGCTAGGGGCCTCTACAATTCGATGAGGGTTGTGGGGTAGAAATATCAGCATGAGGAGGAACCCGAAGAATATTCTTAGGTATCCCATATTCTAATATGATGATTGTGAGGAGCCCTAAAGAACAATCTGAGGTATCTCTCTCTGCGTAGCTCCCTCCGCCTGCAACCCACAGTTGCCGAGCCGCATTTCCAAGGGCCGATAGACTCTTGTTGATGTTCGCACCTTCCTGAGGTTTAGGGTTTTTGGGGGTTTACTGGGATTTTAAGTAACCAGGAGGAAAAAAGTATATCCGTTTATTCCATAATGGTTCCTTTAAGAAAAAAGTATTATTAAAGTATGGTACTCCAAAGCTCAGTTTAGGGTTTGGGGTTAGGGCCGCTAGAGTTCGCGGTTTTGGGCTTCAGGGTAGATTCACATAGAGCTTTGCTAGGGAGTTGGGCTTCGAGGTCAACTTGACATAGGGCTTCGGCTCCATGTCATACTTAGAGGACCCTGGGACTTACTAAGTAAGGTTCTAAGTACCTTAATTGGGGTTTTAAGTAATTACAGGTGTAGTTACCTTATTCATAACCTTACTTACTCAGTCCCATGATCCTCCAAGCAGCCTTCGCTTCTGGTCTCTGGCTTAATTCCTTCAAATTTATGGCTCAATGGAGACTACAGGTATGTGCGCGCAAGAAACGCAAGTACACTGCCATTCGAAGTCAAACTAGCATGAGACATACACCCTGCAAGCCCTCACAAAATCTGCAATCACTGACTCCGGGCCACATGACAAACAACCATAGCCGAAGCATCAAAGAGAATTATCCTGGACTTCATGGAAAACATATCCGATCATGGCCCATGAAGCTCTGGCAAATTTCAAAGCCCCGCGTAAAAAAACCCAAAACCTTAACCCTACACCCTAAATCCTGGTACCCAGTTGTATGAGTCCTCGCAAAGCCCACCCCGCCCTGCCCAAGCCGAAGAAACTACCGACAAGGAAATCGTGACAAGCATTCATGAAGCATTCCGAACTTGTAACCCCATAAAAGATTCACTGCGTGTTATGTATTATAGATATATGTACACAAATATGCAATATACAGATTATATCTCATTTCCTATACTTTGCATTGCAACTTGTCTTGCTTACCTAGACCCAATTAAGAATGGCTGGCCTTCAGCGTGTCCCCCTGCGCCCCGGTGCGCGATGCTCGCTCGGACCCGGCCAGGTCTACGAGGTTCATCTTTGAGAAGTTGTTGTTCGAACCTGATTTAGAGCTTCAGGGGTTTAGGGCTTAGGGGTTAAGGGTGTTGGAGTTTAAGGTTTAAAGTTTTGGAGTCTAGGGTTTTAGGAAGGTTTGGGGTTACCCTAAGCCCTAAACTTCTTTGGGGTTACGCTTAGGCCTCAGGGTGTCGAGGTGAACAGCTTTGCTCTTCGATCCCCTTCTTGACTCTTATACTCCATGAAGAATATTATATCATACTGTTTTCTGTGAAAGTATACCATGTCATCTTGTATTCTTGTACTCTATTCTACTACACTATATGACATGAAATAGAAATATTCTACATTATACTTTACTCTATTCTGTTTTATTCACTGTTATCATGATATATTCTACTATATGAAAACAGAACATTATGTTCTGCATCATACGATTTTCCATTGTCCTAGCTCAAGTTCGGTGCACCCCGGACACTTAATGTACTATCGTGGTTCATCGACTCAGAGCCCCCGATGCCAAAACGCCATGTTGAAGCCTAATACCTTGGGTACGGCCCCTACTCAGTAATGGTTGAATAATATTCATAATATAGATATAGTAGGAGCTTAATAGTAGCCCTATTATAGACTCTTACTGTATGGGGGCCGTACCTAACTAATACCGCAAACGGTTGGATCCTAAGTGAAAGCCAGTGGCGGGGAGGAGATGGGTCAGGAACCTGGTTTTGTAGCCCAAAGCTGTGCAGAAAACGTTGGAGGCTTCTCGAAGTTTGTTTGTATTGCGCTCGCCTGTCACAACTGTGGTAAAGTAACGGTGTAATTACATAGGCTGTCTGGTTGAGGACATGGAAATTCACAGCCAAACCCTGGTCTAGGCCAGGCAGTTCTGAGCACTTGTATCTGAAAATCGCATGTAGCTGCGGCATACGATAGATGCTTGAGCATACCACTTGTCTTGCTGTCCACTCCACCGGAATCCTGCAAACTGCGATGAGGTACACGTCGATCTGGCAGCACTGCTCAAAAAGGCCAAGTCACTAATCTTGTCGTCCTTTTGGTGCAGTTTGATAGTAAAGATACCTCGGAGTCAGCCGTTATGGCACTAGGTACGGAGACCTCACAACAATACTGAACATTGCTATTAACGCGCGACCGCAATAGCCAAGAGCGAAATCCAGGAAGCCACACAAGCATCAGGCACAGTGCTTGCTCATTGTCTGCAACTAAGGCTCAGTGTGATCTGCTGCTTGTTGCCTCACGGGCAGCAGCACGCCACACACCGCAAATGGGTCTTTTGGGCTTGAGGCTTGGGGGGGAGGAGGGGGGGGGGGAATTACGGTAATACAAAGTATTTTAACCAGTGCACCGTATATGCACTATCACTAAGCCCTGTATGTGTTTGCTTGTCTTACGACAGTTTTGCCAACTTTACGGGCCCAAGGGTTTGAGGTTTAGGGTTTCGGCGATGAGGGCCCACAAATGACGATTAGATCTTCAGTTTTAGTTTTCATGCTTCAGTATGTTGTCATGGGGTGGGCTTAACTTTGTAAGTTTCGCTCTGTGGCAGGTTTGGACACACCAGCCTCTTGAGCGCAAGGCCTTCGACAACGCACAACATCGCAGTTTCAACCAATAGGAAGACCGGAATACCGACCCAAGCAATAGCATCATCTATTCAAGGAGCCAAGATTGAAAGTGATCAGCATTGCCATACGCACATCCAAGAATGTGAACTATTGGTTGGATGCAATGAGTATATATATATATATATATATATACACACACATGTCTGTATACTGAAACACACACATGTACACACACACAATATTCGGTGTTCTGTACTTTGTAATATACGGTCTATGTTCTATACTCTGTATCAGATACTCTAACTTGTACATACTAGATAAGATTAAAAATATATATATATATATATACACAGATACATATTGTGATAGAAATTATATGTGTGTACTATTTCTCTGCATGCCCGGGAGCGTTCATCTGAGTCGCAGCCGTCGCTCGGTGCTCAAAGCCTCGTGGTAGTAGTGGTAAAAGTAGTTTTGTAGTAGTAGTAGTAGTAGTAGTAGTAGTAGTAGTAGTAGTAGTAGTAGTTGTAGTAGTAGTCGTCGTCGTCGTCGTCGTAGTCGTAGCAGTAGCAGCAGCAGTAGTAGTAGTAGTAGTAGTAGTAGTAGTAGTAGTAGTAGTAGTAGTAGTATAGTACGAGTGCTGCGGGCAGAAAATATTGCGGCGGTGGCAGCAGGGATGCAGGCGGTGCTTTTCGGTTGCCGTTGAGTTTCATGCGTCATTAATATTACCGCGACTGTTGCTAGTAGAAGTCTTTTAAAGCAAGGCTTGGAGCCTGAAGTCCCCTAAGACCAGAATCCACAACCAAACCCCAAACCCTAAACAGTAGCCTGTGACATACACGCATGTGTTGCTAGAGGTCATCAGGAAGCCGTGCATCGCTTCGCCCGAGCCGCGACCAATATTCATGGAGTGTTGGAAGCAGAAACACTGCATGATGTTATAGTACAGTTTTATTTTGTAATACCTTGTGTGATATCATATTTCCTGATAGAATATGTCTTACTATTATATATATATATATATATATATATATGTATATATATGTATATGGGAGTTTCCGAAAATGAGAACTATAAATAGTACTCTAAATAGTAGGAACCTTATTACAACGACGCCAAAATAAGGTGCCCCTATTTTTCGGTCTCATGTTATGCCATGTTATGATGACGATTGTCCAACATGCGCACATTTTCATATCTGGGCAGATGCTTTATGCTACCTCCGTGGCCGTCGGACCAAGGCCGGCAAGTCTATTTACAATTCTAGCCCTGTGGTGCTTTAAACATGCGGAAAATTTCAATGCAAGCAGAACTTTTATACTACATCCGTTTCCTTGACGGTCTGCCTGTCCTCCAGGTACTCAGAAAGCCTCACCGTTTGTTATACACTAGACTACACTATACTAGACCATACAGCATTATATTATGCTATACAATACTATACTTTTTTAAAAACTATAGACCGTACAATACTAGACTGTACTATACTGTGCTATACTAGGCGTTACTACACTGTGCGATGTCTCGATATATCATAATGTGTCATACACACTACTGTGGTCTATCTTACTTGATATGTTTTTTATGTATTCTACTACTTTACACTATCTGGTATTAGACTATACTGTATTCGATTTTTTGTTATATACTGTACCAAGCCATAGTATATTCTATTACATCATTTTTGTATATCATATTAGGGTATATTCTGAAACAGCTGCCGAAGCACCTTGGTCGATTAACCGGTTCAGCTTCTCTGCTGTGTCCACAACAATCTCCTGCAAATCCTGCATTTGGAGCTTAGGGTACTGTTAAGGGGTTTAGGGCTCCAAGTTGCTACAATGTGCTGTGGTACACCAAAATGAGACCGGTGTGTTGGGGCACACGGCAAAATAACCGCCCAACAAAGAGTGCTTGGAATCTTGCATCAGGGGCAGTCATCCCCTCGCATGTCTTGAGTAGGGCATCATCACAAATTCAGTTTCTTCCCGGGATTAACTGCAACATTCTGAAGCAGCGCCAAACTCGCTAGACCTGATTTGCAGGCCCAATACTTCGTAGACTCCAGAACCCTCGGACTTGAGTATTGAGGGTGAGGTGCCAACGTCCAAGAACCTAAACCCTAAACC